ATAAGGTGTGGATATTATAGTAGTCAAAGTAGTCCAAGTAAGTCTGCATCATCGTTGAAGTTGAGTAACTAGTAATTAAAATTTAAACAGGAATTTGATTTTGCGGAGAAGATCGATAGTTAAGTAGACACTGCTAGTAGTAGACCATGGCTCTCGCAGACAAAATTGAACAGTGAGATCATTGCCCGTAACCTTACTTTGTGCGACCTTCGGACAGACCTGTCACTAATACTTATCTGTAGTATGCACAAGACTTCATTGATTAAAAAGAAGTATATTGAGACTGAGATTCAAATTCCATTGATATACCTACCACTACATATTACTGAGCAAGTCTGTTAGTCAGGTAAAGGCATTAGGGTAGAAAAGATTGCAATTATGGCTGGAGGTTTCCTCCCCTATCACGAACCAGGCAGTACGTTGGCGATGATCCCTTCACCATTACCATTGATCATTGAAAGAAACTGACCATATCAGTTGTCAACGTTCTCATCCTAATCTCCTTTTTCTTCTTCCTCTCCCTAGCGGAATGGATCTCTTCGAAAATCATCCGCGCCGGCATCATTGGCCAGATCGCCGTCGGTATTATTTACGGAACGCCACTGGCGAACATCCTGCATGAAGATTGGCAATCCACTTTCCTTGCGCTAGGTTATATCGGCTTGATACTCATCATCTTTGAAGGCGGGCTAGGAGCCCGTCTTGACCTCCTAAAGAAGAATCTTTTTCTGAGTATGATTGGCGCTGCAACAGGGGTTCTTTTTCCGATCGGACTTTCGTACCTGCTCCTCTACCTAGGATTCGGTTATGGTGAGTAACTAATACATTGTACTTGATTGGGATAACAAAGGTGACACGTTCCGACAGGTGCTGTTGAAACATTCATCGTGGGAGCATCTTTGTCTGCTACCTCTCTTGGCACGACCTTTGCTGTTATCTCAACTGCCTCCAGCACGGTCGATCTCGCCCAAACTCGCGTCGGATCGATCCTCGTAAGCGCAGCTGTCATTGACGATGTTGTCGGCCTGGTAATGCTAAGGTAGATAAGCTTCTTGCCCTAAGCCCCAGATCATTCACAGTGTTCAAACTCACGTAAAACAGCGTCATCAGTGATCTAGGCGAATTAAGTCAAGGTCACTCTGTCAACCTAGGCTGGCTAATTGGCCGCCCGATCGTAGCCTCCATCGGAATGGCTATTGTAACCCCCCTGGTAACAAAGTATCTCTTCGCGCCACTGTTCCGCCGCTATATCGAGTATCACTTCGCTCGGTTCGACCACATCTCCAACATCATTCTGATGATCTTGGTCCTCTGCGCATTTATCAGTATTGCCGCGTATACGGGGACTTCCATCCTCTTCGGTGCATTTCTGGCTGGTACATTCTTAACTTATATCCCTAGTAAGCATCCAGATGGACCCTTTGTGGTTATGAGCCGCGAGGAAGGCGAAAGGGAGGAGAACAAGAGTCCGACATTTGTACACACCTTCGAGCGGTATCTGTTAGATGTGCAAAAGTATCTTATGGAGCCGCTTTTCTTTTCGAGTGTTGGATTCGCCATCCCCTTTGTGCAGCTCTGGACGGGGAAGAGGATCTGGAGGGGTATCGTCTTTACCCTTCTTATGCTGTTTGCAAAGGTATCAGTTCCCGTTCTCTCGCTAATCTTGGTTCTGATATGACAACTAAAACAATGGCCAGCTTATCGTCGGAATCTGGGTCCCTCTCTGGCAATTACTTTCCAGTTCCAATCTCCTGAACAGAAAGACGGCAAAAGAGTATCCTAGCGAAGAATACGCCAGCGAAGACAGCACAAAACCAGTCTGGTCCACAGTCTGTCTCTCTGGCCTACTTCTCGGCTCGGCAATGGTTGCCCGCGGCGAGATCGGCCTCCTCATTGTCGAGGTCGGGTACAATGAGACTTCGTACGTGAGCGAGGATGCCTTTATAACCGCCGTCTGGGCGATTCTGCTTAACACGGTCCTTGGCCCTGTAACTGTGGGGTTGCTGGTGAAATTTCATGGAAAGAAGATAGAGAAGGGAGTATGGGGCCTTCAGGAGGCTGTTCCTGCTGGTGGTGGCGGTAGTGGTGACTCAAGCATCGATTCCTCAGTTGGGTGATATGCTAGGCACCATACTATTTCAACACTCCAGAGGGCCACTCAGGTCTGGCCCAGAGCCTTTTCCCCACGAATATCCAACCTTCAGTCAACTGCTTACTTGCAAAATAGTCGACTACAGGGTATCATCCAGCTCTAGGCTCTAAGCGCAGGAGATGATCATTCACTGCAGGATAATCGGATGAATCAACATCGACTCTAGAACCGATGATCATGTCAAGACATGCTTATTATGCTGTAGATATTCGCAATCTTTGAAGCAGCATCGAAAGGCTATTGTCTGGCACAAAGCACGCGTCAAGCCTGAAATGCCTCCAAACTATACTATCTTCCTGCAGGAATATTATTCCCGAACGCCCACATCATTTATATCTCACTTTCTTCACTTGGCAATTCCTGCTTCAGTGTAGGGCCGAGTCATGTGAGCTCGTAGCAGTCGGGGCACTATAGTAACATAGATCTAAGAAAAATTCTGACCATCGGGCGAGCATGACTATATTATCTGATGATGATTAGGTGCCTACTGTTCGACATACATGGACATGATGATAGAGCAGAGGTGACGGAGTTGGGTTTGGAATAGACGGGGGTAGAGGAAAATTCGATGCTTGGGTGGCACTTGCCATGCTGTGTAAAATAGAGTGCAGTTGGTATAAAGAATGCCGAGACATCTCATCGTGAAAAATAACAACGAAACAAAATAATAGTATCAGTAGTATCAGTAGCTGTTATAGCAAGATTATTTTGATGTCCCCTCTGTGCGCCCCTCCCCCTCTCTGGACCTCCTTTCAGCCTTTTGCTTGCTGCAGGAGGATTTCGTCGCTGGACACCAATAGCAATATGTCTACGGGGACCTTTATATACTTGTGTCTGGTTGATGGATAACGTTAAGGGCAAGCTTCATTGGTGATATAGACTATCAATTTGATATAAAGGTTCATTAAAAAACTGGGGCGTGGCAACTTCAAAAGATGAATAACAGCAGATAATTCAGATAGCTCCGACAATAAATCTTGAGGCAAATCTTCCTATTCTCATAAACAAAAAGCATTTCAAGGGTGCACGATATCGCAAAGTATAACCTGACAACACAGCTAAACAGGTAGATCAACTAGAAGCGGACATCTTTGTCCTCGGGGTCAGACTCATATTTGTCAGATGAGCGGTCAGTTCTCACTGTTTCCATCAAAACCTCAGCTTTACAAATTAACCAGGAGGTAGGCTCATCCTCCAGTTCCTCGAGTCGTAGAGGCCGATGGCTGAATGGTACGTATTGGATTGGAGTATCGTACCGGCACACTCCCGGCCGAACCACGAGGATCACCCGGCCGCGTGGCTTGGGGACGTACAGTGGAGGATCCTCTTCCTCCGCGGATTGAAACTTTGCCGAGAACATGAGCCCCGTAGAAGTATCAAATTGCTCCAACTCAGGAAGCTGATGGACCTTCACCTGTCCACCCAGCATAACCTCGTGGTTGGTAAGGGCTCGTGCAATGTCCTGAAATAATTTCACCAGGCGCTCACGGCGCGCCGTCTCTTCTTCTGCACCAGTCAACTCACGCAGGAGCAGCTGGAACAAACTGTCTGCCAGAAGTTGATCCGCCAGGTCTTTTGCCATGCTTGCCTGCCGCTTGCGGCTCCTGTCTCCAAATTCATAAGGTGTTTTGTCCCGAGAGGACTTGGCCATATCGTCTTCTTTCAGGTTGGCAAGACTGAGTGTGACCGACTTCCACCATACAGCATTGACCGGGCTTGCTAAGAAGACCAGGGATGACAGTCCCGCCTGTTAGACAAAAAAGAACCCTTTCATGTAATTGGAAACGAGCTGGATTACTCACATTCGTAGTATCTTTCATACAGATACTGGATTCGTTCGGAGAACGACAAGTCTCCAGTCTTGTCAGATCCATCACGTTTCCCATCTAGGAACCTGAACGGCTTCTCGAGCAAATGAGTGAATATCGTTTGGTAAATCATTGCTTCGGCCAGACATGAGTGAAATACAGCACGATATGAGGGAGAGAGGAGGGACTGAATCTTAGTCCAAGATTCTTGGATACAGTATTTATCAAGTCTTCGAATGATCATCTGTTTCTGTACTCTGGAAAGGGGTGGTGTATCCACACAAACAAATGCATCAGTCCAGAAGTGGACATGGTCTTGGATGTTGCGATAATCTATTATGACTGCATTCGTATCGGGGTAGTATCCCACTTGACTGAGTTTCATGCGATGACAATGGCTTTGATATTTATCAAAGTCCTCAGCTGTCAGGTGCACCGAGGGCCTTCTGGACGGTCGGGTATCGGACAGTGACTTGCCCTTCGGGGATTCAGTAGGAGAAGGCTCAAGCGGCTCATTGGGACTCTCTGGAAGAGGATCCTGTGGCTTCTATGTGAAGATCAGCCATGTCAGTGGAAGTCCGGGGATTGCCAGGGTTGGGGGGTAGATGCAGGATGATAGGCTGGAGGTAAGAATGGAGCTAGCAACCTTTAGCTTCTTTGTGTTACGGCGTCGTCTACCCGCCATGATCCTCAGAGTGTCGAAGATGCAGGATGGGTGTGGGCGTGATGATGGGAAGAGAGGCGACGGAGGAAGGACAACAGAGGAGGAAAGAGGATGTATCACTCTGGGCATCAAAGTCCAATCCCGTGACATTGTCTTGTCTCTCAAGCCAGCAAACGCCACAATAATAGCAGCAGCAGCAGCAGCAAAGAAACCTTCTCCTACCCCACCTAGTCACAACTTCTTTATCTCACGACCATACCAAAACTAGGATCTCTTTATTGTGGAACCGTACCAAAGGCTACGATGTCATTGTCTCGTAGCCGTACCGTTCCTGCATTCGACATCTATCTTCCAAAATTTCTCTCATTTCAGAAGCATGGAAGGGCCCAGATTGGTTATTAATATCGAATTTGGGGCGAGTAAAACAGGTAAAATTCATGCCCTCCAGATGCTCCCTTCTCCCGCATGTGTTCATCACTCACGTCCCATTTTGAATAGTCGTCGGCTATCATGTCACCACAAATGGGTGGAATGGGCTTCCTGCGTTCTTAAAAATACACAATACCCATATCATTCCAACGGCGATCGCGTACACCCCATGTGGCTTGTCATGCTGTATTGGAACGGATGCCCAACGCCGAGAGAACTGTATTTATTGGATAAAACATATATTCGACGATGCTCGCATATTGCGAGACTCTGATGACGAGCTTCTCAAGGAGCTCGTCAAGTCGACATGGCCGCAGCTACCTGACAGGCAACGCGAGGATCCATCCCTCGTCGTGTCTGACTTCCTGGGAAAGATATTAGGACATCTCCAGAGTGCCTTGAAAGATGACCCCACACTCAACGAATTGCCAAAACATTTCATATTCACCACGCCATCTACTTGGTCGAGTTTTGCGCATATGAAGATGAAACAGGCTGTATATTCAGCAGGGTTTACAAGCCCTCAAGACGCAATGGTCTCTTTTACTTCAGAGGCCGAGGCGGTCGCCGTATACGCCGCCAGTGAAGGGGGATTCAACATGGGGCAGCTTTGTGAAGTGAGTTTCTAACTACAGGCAAAGGCCTTTCCAAATCGTCGGAATTAATCTGATGACCGAGGTTTTTTAAACAGACAGGTGATGGAGTTATGGTGGTCGATTGTGGTGGCAGCACCGTCGTATGAGTTTTCTTGATAACAAGGAAGTCTCTTTCTTATACTAATAGCAGGATTAGGACATAACTACATTTTTGGTCGATCAGAAAACCCCTTTTGGATATCAAAGATTGACGGCATTCACTAGTGAGTAAGGCCTAATGAGGTCATGTTTTCAGCTAATCCTTTGTAAGGTAACGCCTGTGGGGCTGTTCAGCTCCAGTCTCTGGTATATGCTAAAGCGTTGCAGCAAAGTCGGACGTCTGGTCCGAGGACGAGAAGCAAGGACAAGCTACTTCCGTTTGCCGTATGGGCCCGGCAAAAGTTTCCATATGGACTTGTATCAATGCCCACTAATACCGGGCTTTTGGATGCTGCCTTGCGGCTGATCTACAATAGTTTTGCCATCAAGATCATTAGCCATATTCGGCGTGAAATTGCTTGCGCTAACATCTGCGCTGGATGCAAAGTTATTAAGGTACTCTACTATATGGTAGCTTTCGTACTGCATTAAGCGACTAATATCTCTTTCAGAAACTGCTTTTAGTGGGAGGTCTGAGTGGCTCGGCCGAGATCTCAAACGCCATTCAGTACGCATGTGGAAACGAATTCGAGATCGAATTTCACCAGCCACATTACGAGTAAGATTGCCGCCATCTTCGTAACAGTATCCTCCCGTTCTTTTTTCATTCAAAGCTTACAAGCATTTCATAGTTTTCGGAATATAGCCGTTTGTATTGGTGGCACACTGCGCGGCCTCATGGGACCGCAACTGTCCTTCAAATTTTGGAGATACTATTATCTGGTCGACGCGAACCAGCAGATAATCATGATCGTCAGCAAGGTAATGCGTGAGCCTGGTCTATCGAGGTGCTACTGATGGCTTAACCTTCTTCGCAGGGAAGCCCCTATGACAACGAGTACACCAATCGAATCAATATAACACTGCCCCGAAGCACTGACGGGGCCCTTACCATTCTTGTTGTGGAGAGTGCGCAGCAGGTAAACCTGCTCGAATCGCTCGAAGACCAAACCAAGATTGTTGGCAGAATTAACTGCGACTTGTCACAAGTGCCGGGAGACTGGCAACTTCTGAACGTCTTGGTCAAATACCGAGCCACAGTGAGATCTGAAGGACAACATCTTCCTCCCGAGCGCCTGCTCCATCTGGCTGTGCACGAGTCGGAAAGTGAAGAAAACCGGCTAATAGGCCACACGCGAGTCCTCATGCAGAGTGGGTTGTGAAAGCAGTGCTTGGAATTTTATTCGGCTACGGTGGGCACGATGGGTAGGGGAGAAAAGTATTGTTTGGACACATAGAATGTAGAATGATTTGGACGGTTAGAATGTCAATTCCTGTAGGTACCGGGTTGCAAGGTGTCTTTCCTCGAGTCTCCTCTTAGAATAGACTTTGTAGGATCTGTTATGTAGACCGCGCACGGAAAGATTGGATGGATGAGCGGAAGCTGTACAACTGGTAGGACCAGAACTTACTACAGCCCTCTACCACGGGTACGTAAGAATCTAAAGAAGCAGATACATGGCCCCTATCTAGCATGACAACAACACACACCACGCTCCCTTGACTCCAAGGCCTTACCATACATCTATTTTTTAGGTCATTTCCATAGAACCCATTGTCAGGGCCTACCCTGTACCCTCTCCAAAAAAGAAGGGAAAGAAAGAAAAAAACAGCTCCTGTCCAAACATCAACATACATAACCGACCATGTCTAAACAGATGTCCACAGACCCCCTCACCAAGATGGAAGAATAAGGCAACTCAAAGAAGCCAATGAACAAGTCTCCCCAAACCTTTGAGGATAATATGCATCTGTTTTCTTTCACGAAAGCCTCCCAAGTTCATCGGTCGGATTGTAAAGTGTACCAAAATTTGGCAATATGGCGCGGCCGCCTGCATTGGATCCTGGACCTGGACTCCTAATTCCCCCCTCCCCTTTTCCCCGGTACTCGTGTCATATGGGTTGTTATTGCTATGTTCACCACGTAACAATGAGAGAGAGTAGCCAGGGTGGCTTTCATTAGTAGATGATGTCTGTGTTCGGTGCATTTACTGAGCATAGAGATAATAACTTTGAAAGGGACAGAATCTACGACAAGCGATTTTGAGATCTCAGGTGGTATTACCAAACCTGGTAGTGTCCAGCATATTGCCATATCTTATGATCCACGGAAGTTGGTATTTACAAGGGGAGATCGGGCTAGGGTGCAAAGATCGTTGAAGAATGTGCATCTTTTTGTGAAGCAGAAGTGCCAATGGGTCAAAGAGGGGAGAGTTTGGAAGATCCAAATAAAAGGATGGAGGGAGAGAAAGAAGTGGTATATGACAATGAAAATGAGGGTTTTCGTGGAACAAAGAATATGGAAATGGATATAGATGGGGAAGGATGATGAAAAATCAAAAAAAGAAGATGGGCCCGAACCGCGATTCGAACGCGGGGCCTCTCGCACCCAAAGCGAGAATCATACCTATTACTTAGTTAGACACTGAAAGCCAAGACAAATCATTGATGTGAGGGCTGCTTACCACTAGACCATCCGGGCTCGTATACGTAATCAGGTGGCAAATAGAAAACAAAGGCTAAGAGAGGGAAGATTACGAAGAAGTAAAGCCAAAAAATAATTGAAGATAGGCCCGAACCGCGATTCGAACGCGGGACCTCTCGCACCCAAAGCGAGAATCATACCTATGAATTTGTTAGACAATGAAGGTGGTGGAATGTTTGATTGGATAAAGCTTACCACTAGACCATCCGGGCTCGTATGTGGGGTTCTTTTGGCTTTTTCCTTACATATAGAGGGTGAAAGCTCGATCCATGCTAAGTTTTCATCGTTCGTTGGTGTTCTATTGGCGGCGTTCAAATATATATGTTTTGGATGGTTGGAACGCTCGAAGAATTTTCACGTCCAGCTCCATGATGCTTATTCATCGCCATTGGCGACCCGGTTTTCCCAGGGTATTGTATTTGTGTGCTCCTTTAAGCTTCTTTCATCATTACTAGTTTAACGCTTTTCGACTCACCCAGAGAGTCTGTTGGATACCATTTTAGGGATGAAATTCATAGACAACTCAGGTTTGGTCCTTGACAGAAGGGCTTCCTTTTTTATCTTGTCTTTTCTCCTCTCTAATAGTGGTTTAGACTTTGATATGCAGTTATACCTCTACAAAATGTGACCAATACTATATGTAGTAAAATGGCCGTAGCTTCGCGCAAGAACATACAATATTACGGAACCGAATGAATGCAAATACCTATGGGTCCTGAGGAATAGATGCTGCGTAGTTCAAATACTTTGGAGATGTGTCTTCATCAAGGTTGACATTTACTAGCCTTGAAATCGTATCTGAATGCCGGATATATATATATGAGATCGGCGGGTTCCCATTCAATTCTGCAATGCAACAGTACTTTAGTAGTATGTGCACTCATAGCCAAGCATTCAACCCAAAGCAATTATATACGGATGAAAGTCCGAGGCTTCTATTTATAGCTGTAGTATCCATGGCATCGATGGTGCGACACCACACCATTAGTACCGAGCTTTCAGAAGCGGCCCCTAAGCAGTAAGAACTACACAGGCCAGAATAGCTCTTGAGTCCAGCCTCAAAACAATGGATTGAGCTTCATTGTGGGCCTGTGCTTAATCTCACATAGCAGATCCTTCAATGATCGTTGGAGCTTCATGTGCTCGGGAACCTCCATGCTGCCAGAAATAAAATCCGGTTCATCGATGTACATTCGGCGACAGTAATTATGTCCCACCAACAACGCCAAATCCTTTTGCGAACGATGTTGGATACCGCACCTCACCCGCAATATATCTCTTGCCTTAGTTCGATCGAAGTTCAGGAGTGGTATTCTCTTGTCGCCAATATATCCCTTGGAGTACAAGAGCGCCAAGCTGTAAAAGGCCAACCATGTCTTTGGATGTTGAAATCCAAGTCGTTCTGTGAATAGCCGGAGAATGTCTTCGGTTGCAAGCATGGCTTGCCAGTAAATATTTTTACAATTGCATGCTGTCTCGTGCATTGCCACATTAGTGTCCCACAGAACCTTCTCAATTGCCGACTTCGTTCCAACAGCCTCTGCTGCCAAGTCGAGTATATCTAAGGAAGGTAACAACTGCTCTTTCCAGCCCCAAACAAGGTGGAAGTTGAGAGCCGGACGATTTTTCTCGGACCGTATTTTCTCGAGATCTGCATTTCCTGCCACGTCTGTCTTCTGAAGAACGGCCCTTAGCACGATCACTCTGAAACAACCATCCGAGTACCTGATGATGGATGGATCTGAAACTCCCTGCAGGAGGCATACAATGTCATATTGCTTGATCGGTTCCACTGATTTCCCGATGGTCCATCTTACTTTCCACGCTTTCTTGTAGTCCACTTTAGCCTGCCCAGTCAGAAGCACTTGCAAAAAGGTCTTTGTGTGCGTTTCTTCCGCGGTGACAATGAGCCCCAGGATCCATCCACTGCTTTGTATGCTTGCAATTTCCCTACCAGGCCAGGTCTTCACTTTTACGTGTCCATCCAAAAAGAACCAGATTAACCGTTGAAAGAGCTGCTCCCAGGGCACCTGATAATTGGTAACAGACCGGGTGCCTTATGAGCATCAGAACTCAGTCCCAGTAAAGCATAGATTTTATCATGCAGAATAGTGGCCTCGTTCGTATGATGCATATCAACCAATTCGGACAGAGAGAGCTTCTTCATTGAATGCGTTCCATACTGAGGTCGAAAGATTGCTCCACGGATCAGATGTGTTGTACTCAAAACACTAGGGCCAGCATACGAGCCCCATGCTTGAATGCCCGTGGCAAATGTGTAACCGCTCATTCTGACAGGACCACACTGTATCTGAATATTCCGAGCGAGACCTACTTCTTGGAGGATCTGTTATATCTCATTAGACATTGGATATCGCTGCGTAAAGAGCAGGAGGAGGGGGAGGACGGTGGTCATAGCGTGGTAATACTTACCCACATGCGATAAAACCATGTCCGCTGGAACAGACTTTTGACCCCCTCAATGGGGATGCTGTCTGATGGCAGGTTAAAAAGTTCTCCAGCAAACACTCCCTCTGCCGCTTCACGAATAGCTTCTAAAGCCCGAGTACTACTATCCGCCTCCTCGCCCAACCACACCACCACCTGTCTGGCCTGCTCATATATGCGGGCCATGTTTTGGATTTGCCTCTCTTTCTCTCCCATGTTGTTCTGGTCGATGCAAATTGCGTCGACCCATAATGTCCGTTCAAACTCATAGCCTCGAAGCCTAAGGAGGGCGGAGTGTAAATTCTTTCCGACTGAAAAAGCCTGGTTGTTGATGGAGATGTTGCTCTGCCCGTTTGTCTGAGCTCCCCACACGTATGAGAGGGCGTCATACTCTTGGGCAGTATCGTCCAGAAGAGAATAATTGGAAAGCTGGCATGCGATCGGAGCGGCTCTGTCCTTGCTTGGGAGCAGACGAAGTATGCGAGTGCTGAAAGGCCCCTGATCCAGAGGAGAATATTGGAAGACGGGCATGGTTGAGAATAGCAGTACTTCTTTTGGGTCACTTTACGGGATGAAGGTCCTACAGCGTCGTTTATGAGCACTTTACACATGCAGAACAGCCGTCCCTGATATCCCGTGTCAACGATGCAACGGATGGAATGCCCATCGAATTCGTATGAAGCTGATGTGCCAATAATGGTGGGGATTAGAAAGCCGTTGAGATGCCGACCGTGTGGAATTAGCCAACGAGGTGCACCTTAGTGAGGGATTCTCGTGCATCTCCTAGTAGTAGTAGTACTTAATAGAGTAAGAGTGTCGACAACCTGTCCTTGCAAGATTGGCTGGCTGTGTCCCTGCTTATCCTGGGTTCCCCGCCATGAACAACGGATCAGTTTCCGGTCCTAGTACCCCTCCCCCCCTCTCCACCCATCTAGAATAAATCATGCACGCGGCCCAAGGGGAGTACCGCCTATCTACTCTGCAACTGGCTGCGGATGCCCCACTGACAGGTGCGGATAGAGGCATTAGGCGAGAGCGGGGTTGTCACTTGTATGTATAGGCTATAACATGCTTGCGAATATTATTGAAAAATGCCGACAACGGATTGGTTCCACATTCTGATTAGTCTAAATAAGGTAGCCCCCGAGCAGCGTCGGTCCAAGAAAAAGTACGGGAGAAATATTCCGTAGACGAACGGGGATGGTCTGGACATCGCGTCAGGTACTAATATTGACTTGCTTCAGTATACTTTGGCAAATCTGCATATGCTGTCCTGGGCCATCTGCGCAAGATGGATGAACTGGCTACCTATAATATAAGTCCAATAAATTTCAATCATGAAGGTATAACATGAACTAAGTCAGTAATTAGGCAAAGGTGGGTGATTAACTGAGAATGCTCTCGCACACAGATGAAGGCGATGTGGCACTATATCACGTTATGTCTCAGAATCTAAAGTAGTTGACCATCGAGGAGGCTGAATTATAGTAATAGTAATAGTTGGTTAGGTACTCCGTAGATGGATGTTAATAGACGTGTCAACCGATTCAGTACCGATGATATAGTATAAGCCGCGGATAATATTATGGCCGAGATAGCATCAATCCTGCATTGAATATAGGTCACGTGATACAGACCGGGGTAGTCCAATAAACAAACCTGATTAAACCACTGCAAGGCTATATCTGAGACAAACAATGAAACCAGAAGAGGGGTTTATTGTTGTGGAACACACCAACTCTAGCTGGTCCGCAACGATCATTACTTCTGCGTCGTCGCTAATACATATCTAGTCTATTTAGCAATAGATCTGAATAATGATCAGCCACAGGGTGGGCCCGGGATGCGAGGCGCAGCAGCGGAGTAATCCACGCCAATCCGATCTGGGCGAGTAGTACCGACTTTTTGGTAGCAGTTACTGATTCGGGCCCGATTCCAACTCACCTCTTTTTCTCACCGTGCGCTGGCCTTCTTTCATTCATTCCTTCATTTGTCGCTGCTTCGCTCTTTCCAGCACCTTCTCTCTGCCCAATTTCTTGCCATTGGGAGCCTTGTTGCTGTCAGGATCTGATTCCATCTGGAAACAGCGGTTCTTTCGATGTATAGATAGAGTGGTGTCTCACTTCTGTGCCGGACCCATCTCCGCCCTTTAAAAAAGTTCCACACACTCCTTTATCAATTTCATTCGATCTCAATTTTTCATATATACATTCATCCGTTGTTTGATATTATAGGGTGATCACCTATCCTCTTCGGAATTATTATCCGATAATCAGCAGGGATATCGGATATCCAGCAGAGAACCATGTGGTATCGCAATGCTCACCGGTCCGTGATCTCTTTCTCTCGGGCTGGCCTGCGGACACCTCCCAGGACAACAACCACAACTACTACTGCTACCCGCATAACAACTCCCTCCTATCGACGGGGGTTCTCAAAGGGCTCAATTCGGAGAAATACGGAGTCCTCATCTTCGGAACAAAATGCCTCCAAGGAACGTAGGAGGCGGAGGAGCGACGACTCGGAGGAGGAACCTACTCTGCGGTCGACTTTGTTAAAGATGGGGGAGTCTGCGGCTACTACTCTTGCTTCGATGGCTGTTCTTGGGTAAGCCATCGTGTTCTTTATCGATGATTTTCTCCATGCTAATACCTGCCAGTATGGTTGGATACGCGTACCACCGGTACTACAAGTATCTCATTCTGGAGAAGATGGAAAACGCCTTCAAACCGGGTGATCCGGCCCTCGAGCTGGCCGGTGTGGAAGACGGAAAGCACCAGTCTACCTACGAGGAGCATTGGGTGCATCGCGATGAGCAAGCCAGAATGGATAGAATTATCTCCGGTAACGCTGGAGGTCGGTATTACCTACTGATCGGTGAAAAGGGGACCGGAAAGACGTCGATGCTTCTTGAGGCAATGCGTAAGATTGACGGCGAGGGCTGTGCCATGTTCGAAGCTCATGCTGATCTGGAGCTTTTCCGAATTCGTCTGGGAAAGGCTTTGGACTACGAGTTCCATGAAGAGTAGGTCTACTAAATTATTCTTCGCCTATGTGTGCAGCGGGTTGTTGACGCCACTTGTACAGTTATATCGGCAGTCTCTTCAGTATCAAAGGACCTCGGGATACTACTGCTCTCCTTGATATCGAACGCGCTTTCAACAAACTGGAAAAGGTTGCTCTTGCCAGAAGACGCAGCAAGAAGTCGCCTTTGGTCTTGATAATTAACAGCGCGCACCTGATCCGAGATGATCACGATGGCCAGGATCTGCTTGAGGCGATCCAGCAACGGGCCGAACAGTGGGCTGCAAGTGGGCTTGTGACAACAGGTAAGTCTAATTACATATACCATACATTCATGTGTGAGTATTGACGGAAACAGTCCTAAACAGCGACGAGTACTGGGTGTATGAACGCCTGAAGAAGTACGCTACCAGAATGGAGGTCATCCCGGTGCGCGACCTCCCGAAAGACCGAGCAATGGAAGCCCTGAGGAAGTACCGCAAGCAGTATTTTGGCCAGGAATTGACCCACGAGGAACTTGAGGAGGTGTACAATCTCGTCGGCGGACGATTGTCCTACCTCAACCGAGTGGCCAAGGCCCTAGACTACAAGAAGCTCTGTGAGAGCATCTGCGAGGCCGAGAAGACGTGGTTCCTCAACAAGTGCTGGATCCTGGGTCCTGAGATGGATGACGATGTGATGGACCAACAGAAATATGCTGTAAGTGCAACCCCCTCTGTCGATGACAATAGACCGGCGCACTGACCGAGGTGTAGTCTGCGGCAATGGTGCTGGCGAAAGCACTTGTGGACAAAGGAGAGGAAATGGACAGGACGTATGATCCGAAGCTGGGCCACATTCTCCCAGAGATCCCTCTCCATGAAGCGCGACAGATCATGACGCGCGCGGACTTCATCCAGAGCTACGATCACGAGAACATTTTCACCATCGATTCGCGGGCGATGGTGCGTGCGGATTCGGTGCCCATGCAGAATGCGTTCAAGGAGATCTGTGGCTGGCCAAGATTCGACGAGCACCTGGAAGGCACTCTTACGCGCATTGGAGACATTGAGAGCTTGGGACGTACTCGGGAGCTGACGATCAAGGACCTCTGGAACCAAGGCAAGTATCAACTGGTCATGCGGGACCACAAGGGTCGTGAGCAGGGTGCGGCAGAGTTCTCCGTTGTGGAGCCAGACCAGGAAAATGAGGATAACTGAAGACCAGGTTTAGCCTGGTGAGCCTGTACGATTTACAGATGATGGAGGGTCTCTGGGATACCTGATCTCGGAGGATATTTCGAGAGTGTACTACTACATGTGCCACATGGTGGGAAAGTGGCTTAACCGACCCATGTATTTAGAAGATTCGCTTCGAAGCCACTTACGACTGTCTTATAGAATACACTAACTGCATCTCATCCGAGTTATTCGGGTCTTTGGATTCTTTGGGGCATCGTCACCGGTGACATCATGGGCAGGGTGTCTCTCACCGCCCGGCAGCTCATTCTGGCCATCGCATCATCCCAGCCTCATCTTTATTTCGCTGCTTGTCATTTTCCTCTCCTCGCTTTCCTCCCCTCTTCTTTTTCTTCCCTCTTCCTGATCCCTCCGACCCTGTCCATCACACCATCAATTTCCATCCCCCAAAGCAATCCCACCCACCATCAAAGCAATGGCTCCCCGCAAGAAAGAAGTCCTCTCCGCGGTAACAGCAGCCGACGACGATACCGCAGAGAAGACGACGCGCCAACTGCGTCACAAGACGCGCCTGGACCGCATCCACCCCGCAGTGCGCTTCGTCCTCGCCGTGCTCGGTAGCTTGACATTAAGCTCGACGCTCTTCTCCCTAACGACGGGGATCACCCTCGGCGAACTAGGCCGCGTCAGTAAACACCTCGAGACATGGTGGGAAGTAGGAGGTCTGATGGCCTGGAAGGCCGTCGAGGTTGGACTTGCCTGGATCATGGGCTTTGACGGTATCTCTTCATCCCCGTATAACTTTCTATCATCATCAGTGAAACTAATCCACCAAATACCACAGGCCGCGACGTCCTCTCCTTCACTTACCTCACCCACCTCCCCACCTTCAGTCTCCTCTCGACCTTCTACAGCCTGCGCCCAACGACAATCCTAACCAGCTACTTCATCACTCTCCTCTCCACCACTCTCCCCTTCGTCCTCCTTCGCAACCTCACTCCCATCCACTCTTTCTCGGATTCCACGCGCATCCCTAACCGGTCCATCCTCAACGACCGCCCGACAACCATCTACACCACCATCGCCGCGGCCGCCATCTTCACCGTCACCCTCTCCCTCAGCTACGCCACGCCCTGGCTCCCCACCACCCTCGTCACCCACTTCCAAGACATCCCGGACGTCACCGCCATCCACGCCGGTCCCGCCGCTCTTCCGGGCCTATTCCTTTCCCTTCTCCCAGCTGGCCTGGCGGCGCGCGATTTCCTCTTCGCCAGCTCTACCGGTGCATCCTCCAGGAACTCCAAGAAGAACAGCAACAACAACAACAAGAACAAGGAGGGGACATCCAGCCCCGAAGGCGAGTACCTAGCCTACACCGTCTACCGCAAAACATGGGGTACCCTGTCCCGCAAGACGCAAGTGCTGGTGTCCCGCACAGTTCTGCTAGCAAGCATGTTGTTCGCCAACACAGTTGTGCAGGTCGCAGGGACAGTGAACCAGGTAGACGCCGAAGGCGCAATGGTCTGGGGTGCAGTGTGGGCCATCGCGGCGGTTATTACAGGCGCGATGTTCGGATGGATTGAGGCCGTGGATGGAGTATGATAATTCCATCAGCTTCATTCATCGTCAGGTTGAGAGAAAAATTAATTCCTTTCATCCGATTTATGATGATGTCACTTGATGTTATTTTTTTTTTTTCTTCTGTTGGTCTCTTTATTTCCCCCTTCTTTCCGCCCATTTCTCTCTTTTCAACGAGAAGAAATGCCGTATCTCCGTGACACAGAAGCAAAAGCAACATTCTCACACCATGTGGTTTTCTTCCCTTTTCTCTCCCCCCCGCTGTCAGCTAGTCAGTCAGTTAGTTATTTCTCCGAAAGTCAACCAACCAACCAATCAACAAAGCTAGCTAGTTAGCATCCTTGATTTTGTCAGTTCTTGTTTGCTATTCATTATCTGTTATTTTCCTTTAGTCCACTTAACAATCCCAGCCGTGGCGTGTTGCGAAACAAGGAACAGAATAAGAAAAAAAAAATAGAAACGAAAAAAAGGCGGAACCAGGAGCAGGGATGATGTGGGAAATTTGAGAAAAATTAAGGTTTGGTCTGAGTATCAGGATCGGGGTCAGGAACAGGGACAGGGACAGGGTATCTATCTGATTCCGGGGTTAAGTGTTTCGGCGGCGTGTTTCAAGTTGGTGTGTTTCAGCGGGTGGTCTTATTTTTGAGATTTGTTGATCGTTGAGTTGAGGTGATTTATCCGGGGCAATGGTGTGTCTTGTCTTGTCTGGTCTGGTCTTTGGGGCCATGTTACGATGTTATGTTTTTAATGAACAGTTATTTTACTGCTTGGCTATGATTGTCATGATTGTCAAGTATACCTTTGGTTGATTTTGATTATAGTTGATGGATTTCCATGGTGCTGAGGCAGGGGAATCATCTAGTTCATTAAAGTTGAAAAGGAAAAAGCTAATTGCATAGTGCCACACTCCAATCCATCTATCAATTTTTTAAACGCTGCGTTGACATACCAGAAACCAGAGGCAAAGCACGTGGGCTCGCTTTCATGGCGTTGGAAATAAGATAAGAAAGTTGAAATGGGGTCGATGATATATGTCTGAATAAAATTTAGGAAAGATGAGAAGCGAGAAAGTTACCGCATCTCCATTCCACTAGCCACCCCGTCAGGAGAGTAGATCTCGCGGTGGAACGGCTTGACTTCGTTCTTAGGCAGCAGCCATCCTGGATGGAAGATGTTGAACACACCAACCGCTAGGACCATCATAATACCGTCCAGAACGATGAAGTACCGCTCGTGCGTGATCAAGTAGCCAGACCACCCCTGCGACAGCTCGATGGTTCGATAGATACTCCGAATGTAGATGCAGAGGACAGAGAAGATCATCGCGCCGAGAAGAGGGATGATCGTGCCAGTCATGGTTTGCAGGATCCGCATACGGAGAGTGCGACGGACGAAATCAGCGGCGAGGAAAACAAAGACCGTGATAGACGCGAGCTGGAAGACGATACCGGCGACCATAGTGTGTGTGCCTGGAGCAGTATCGCCGTTGACCTTGTTTACTTCCATCGACGCCATGCCACCTCCCACAGCCTGGACGACCAATGAAATGATATCGCAAGTGACGAAGATCCAGAGATAGAGTTTTGGTCTCAAAATTGAGGTCTCGGGCCCCAACAGGTGGATGAAACGGCCCAGGAGCACGTAGATCCCGGCGGTAAAGAAAGTGGGGGCTAGAGAGAGGCAATTAGTTTGTGTTTCATGAATTGAATATGCGTGTCCCTGCTTGCGTACCGATGATCAAGGTAGAGATTTGCATGAGAAAGGCGGTTCCATTGTATGGGCATTCAGCAGACCAGGTACGTGCTGCCCAGCCCAGGACTTCCGCTGTTATGGCCGAGTTAGCGTACGGTTGAATAGGACTCTTGTAGAAGGGGTTGACATACTGATACATCCAAGAACGAAGACAGCGCACCACCAGGTCCTCTTCCACACCAGCTGCAATGTGTGAAGCAACATCGACAGACCGAAGAGGACACAGAATACAATGCCGGCAGCTAGCGAGGGAACGTAGCCATACGATGTGCCGTAGCCATCGATCTTTGCATGACACCCATAGGTCAATTGCTTCTTGAATTCATATTCCGCAGTAGTGTTAAGGCCCGACATATTGGCGCAAATGGAAGGCCGAGGTGTTCGAGACCAAGTATGCCGAAAATTATATGGCGAGGCCAAATGCGTCTTGGACAGAGTAAGGAGAGAAAGCGGTTTTGAGGCAGCGAAACACACTGCAGATTATTATACGATCAGAAATCGGAAAAAACGAATGACACTGAACGGGCAGGCTGAGCGCTAATCGAGCCTAGAGGGGTTGAGCTATTTGCTGTTGGACATGAATATATGCCTATGAATATGCACGGGGTACCAATCGGCGAAAAGAAAAGGAAAAAGAGAGCATCAGCAAGGAAGAGGCTCTGCCTATAAAGAAGAAAAATGGGAAGAACTGTGATAGAAATCCTTCCAAACTCTGCCCCCATACTCTATTCTTGTCCGTTCAATAGTGATCCCCGTCCTCCTGACTGCCCGTCTCTGGGCGCCACCTGGTACGGCGGGGACACCCGTTGCAGGGAGCAATCTGATTGCACCTCATGAGAGTAGGCAGGGCCTGCCTTGCAAAAGCAAGCACTTCATTCGGCTAACAGACTGGCGAGACCCAAAAAAGAGTTGGGGGACGAGATGATAGCTCGCAAGGTTCGCTCAAAGAGGTTTAGCGCGTCTCGCATGAAGCCGGTAACTCCGGCCTTTTCCATTAGACGGTTTCGCGATAGTAATTGTGAACAGACACCTCCCTAAGATGATCATCCTGTTGTCGCTGTAAGGCAGCTCATCTGATAGGACTCTTGACTGTCAAGGATTGTGGTTAGGACCGTTAGTTATGCCGTGTCACTGTTGAACCCAGTAGAATCAATATATGCCATGCAGCCCAGGCAGTGATGCATGGCCAAGACCGATCGGGAAACAGGAAACCCGGGAGTCCGTCCACCGGGCTCCCATACCAGCAATAAGGAATAGCACGGAGTACAGTACTAAATAGTCCTGAGACGGGATCGGAGCTATGATAAGGCCCGATCCTAGGTTGCTGAACATCAACTGAAACCTGAAGCTAGGCTTCAATCAGACATGATGGATGAGATGTGGTGGTCGTCCAGATCACCCTAGTCAACACCAGGCAGGGAGAGTTAACTTAACAGTAACTCATGAAATGCAAGCGAAAGAATATTGATCGGTAATCACATGCAGGGAAGAGCGGAGAACTTCCCTGCACCGGCAACATCCAAATACGGAAGGCGCGTCTGTCAACCCCGCTGTCCGCCTCAGGCATCAATATAATACTTCCCTCCCTCCATCCCTCTCTCTCTCTCTCTCTCTCTCTCTCTCTCTCTCTCTCTCTCTCTTTCTCTCTTTCCCACGCAGCCTTCAGCTACCAAGTTTCAGCCTCTCGCAACTACAAAGCACTAACCACAGTCTTTGGCATGTCACAGCAAGATTCAGGACCACTCACTTCTTGGCGATTCGAGTCTAACCCCGTCAGTGAGAACCTAGACTAGATGTCAAAATCTCTACGTCCGTATGCGATGGCTACGCTACTGTTATGCCTGTCTGACCAACATGGCATCCCCGGCGGCTGCACAAAGACGGTCACTTTAATATTCATTCTTATCTGGCGCTAATAATAGGTCATGTCTTTTTCATATGCTTCACGCTTATATCATCTCATTGACTCTACTCATTCGGATTCATTCAAACGAGGGCATATCATACGTATCATCCGGGTCTGTGCACAGTCAGTATGAGCAATATTCGACCGGTCCACGGCAGGTGAAGCTCTTACCTTTGCGGTTGGCCAAAATGTACTTGCGTGTCTCCACGATGTTGTGGTCGAATTCGCTGACCAGCTCGTGCTGCCGGATCTGAACCTTCTCATTCCGTCTGGACGCCCCAATCACGGCTGCCTTCGCCACGTGGTATCGTGAGACGTGATTCAACAACATCATATCGAATGGCGTCGTCGTGCTTCCTTCTTCCATGTATCCTTCCACTGAAACCCGGTCCAGGCGGGGCCGTCCGAAGAGCAGACCCTTCAGCTCGCCCGGGTATCCGTGGTAGTTGAAGTGTATCGGCCGGTCCGAGCCAAATAGGCTGTCGAAGGCTTCTGTGGACAATGCATGTGGATGTAGACCTTCCTTCTCCAGAATCATCAAGTCGGTCACATTGACCACCCGCACCCGGAGTTCTGGACAATGCTTGCGGAGGATGGCCGCCGCGTAGATGACCTCGAACATCACCTCGACTCCAATGCCAACCAGCACGACATCCGGGTCCAGCCCATTGTCGGTGCTACAGAATCTCCAGATCGATGCGCCGGCTCGGCAGTGACTCTCTGCTTCCTCGGGACTCAAGTACACCGGAGTTGGCTGCTTTGAACCCACCATGAGGTTGACGTAATTCTTGGACTTGAGACAGTGATGAAGGGTGGTCAAAAATGTATTAGCATCAGGGGGCAGATAGACACGCGCGGTGGTGGGCTTCAGCCTGAGCACGGCTCCGATGAAGGATGGGTTCTGGTGAGAGAACCCATTATGCTCCTGACGAGCCCATGTACTCGTTTCGATATAGTTGATGCTACTGACCGGCTTGTGCCAGGTCGTCTCTTGAGCCTGTCATGGCAGTATTCGTTAGTATCGGGTGATCCAGGAAGAAGTACTGCAGACACATACCATTTTGTTGAACTTGGCATATTGCACCATCATGGTATGGATGATTCCCAAGAAGCTTTCATACGATGGGAAAATGCCCACCCGGCCCGTCAACGTGTATCCCTGCATAAAGCCCTGGCACAGGTGCTCACTGAGCACTTCGATGACGCGGCCGCCTTTAGCATTCGAGAATTGATCCCACTGAAAGTTCCTTCCCGTGTGCGCAAGTGCTGCATCCAGCTTGTTGCTCTCTAGCTCATCTGGTGAGAACACTCGGACGCCGTGGGGGTTCTGGGTAAACACCTGGTCAATGAATTTTCCAATCGTCTTCATAGCGCTTTGCTGGGAGCCCTTGTCTACACCAAACTTTCGCCAATCTGGGAGATCGGGTGCTCTATAGCCCTTGTAGGATTCTGCTCGCTGCCCCAGCTTCTTGGAGTCTTCCCGAGGGATAACAGACTTGATTTCGTCAATGATATCTCCGGTCTCAGTGAAAAGTTCGTGCGGATTATACGAGGAAAGCCATTTCTGCAGAGCTTGAAGCTCCTCCTTGTCCTTCTTTGCATTTGGAAGAGGGACCTGATGCGAATGGAAAGATCCCTCTATGAACGACCCGTGGAGCTCTTTAGGTCCTGACCAGCCCTTCAAGGATAATTAGCGGAGATCCAAGGTTAAGGCGGATATTATCATACCTTAGGTGTGCGCAAAACAATCATTGGCCATCTAGGCTTCATTATTGGCTTGCCGGAACGCGCCGCTTTTTGGATCTTATGGATCTCCTCAATTGCCCACATCATCGAGCCGTGGAGATCTGCATCAATGTCATCGAGGTTCTCAACAATCCGCACCTGGTATCCATAACCCGTGAAGAGGGAGACCAGCTCTTTGTTGTCCATGCAGCCATAGATGGTGCGCTCGCTGATCTTGAAGCCATTGACGTGGAGGATCGGCAGGACGGCACCTGATTCTGCAGGGTCAATGTACTTGATTGCATGCCAGGACCTGTCTGCTGTCAGATTGTGCTCGAATGGGGTATTGTTAGGTACTTACGTCGCGGTAGGACCAGTTTCTGCTTCTCCGTCACCAACCACGCAAGTGACGATCATGTCCGGATTGTCCATGACAGCACCAAATGAGACGGCCAATGCATAACCCAGCTCACCACCTTCATGGATTGCACCGGGGGTTTCCGCGTTGATATGGCTTAAAGCAGTTAGCTTGGCTTCAACTCAGATTCCCAGCCAAAGTCATACCTTGGTAAACCAGCGCTTGTGCTGAAAGTGGAGATGAGCTCATGAAGACCATCCATGTCTCGGGAGTAATTGGGGTAGAATTTTTCTAGAGAGCCCTCGAGCCACAGCGAAGCCAGAATAGCTGGAGCGCCGTGTCCAGGTCCAACGACATACAACATGTCCAGGTTATGCTTTCTGATGATATAGTTCAAGTGGGAGTATATGAGGATCAACCCGGGACATGTTCCCCAGTGGCCTACAGATCTGTGAGCGGAGCTTGCGGAGGACAGCACCGGGAGCTAGGAGATACTAACCAAGAAGTCTTGGCTTGATATCCTCATGCTTTAGATTCTGTTTCAGCAGCACATTGTCCTGGAGAAAGATCATTGCTTGTGTGACGGGTCAGTGAATGTAGGCCGGAAATTTGGGAGCCTCGATCTCACCAGCAGCAATGTAGGCCGCTGCTCGGCGAAATTTCAGCAGGGCATTGTAGTCAGATTCCTCCAAACTCGTCTCTTGGAGTTTGACCTGCAATTGATTGACAAGGTCGGGGATATGTGAAGGCTCGGCCTTGGGATTTGGCCTATCGATGACCTCTCCAGGCATGGTGATTTGATGGATGTAGATTGGTCACTTGGTAAAACAAAAGGTAGTATATCCGTGGAACTAAGGATTAGGGTCCGTTCGAGATCCTAGGGTCTATGGAGGGGTAGATCTAATAGCACGTGGAAACAAGAGTCTAGGCCACTTTCTGCAGCTGTCAAAGATGGTAAAAGAAGGAGATCATACCACTGCCTCGACTGCACTGCTTAAAATAAGAACAGGGAAGCGAGGTGGTGAGGTTGTTGTTGTATGGAGACCCCTGGCAATACGTCACTCGGGGAGTGACATCACCCGCCGTCGCAACCGGGAACTGAGCTGCCACCACCAACAAGCATCAACCCACAACTTCCGAGATCAAGGCTCGACAAGGGTTCAGAAAGCCTATATTTGAATCTTTCTTTCTCTAGTAGCCAGCAAGCTAATTCAACGTGTCCCCGCACCCAATTGCTCCGCAACAACATGGCACGCAAATCCGTCCTCTCCGTCAATGCCGGATCCTCTTCGGTCAAGCTTACCTTCTATACCTACGAGAAGACCCCAAAGGTCATTGCTGCCGCGCAGGTTTCCGGTATCACTGCCCCACCAGCAAAGCTGAAATATACGAGTGGCGACAAGCAACACAAAGAGGAACTCAAGGAAAGCATCAGTACTCCTCAAGATGCCTTCAAATTTCTGCTTCAGCGCTGCATCTCTGATCCCGAGCTTTCCGAAGTCGCCAGCACAGATGATCTAGCCTTTATCTGCCACCGTGTGGTGCACGGTGGAGACTACGACAAGTCTGTTGTAATCACTGACGAAACTTATCATCATCTCGAGAAACTGGAGGACC